AACACGACTCGTTTAACCCATTTAATTTTAAAAAAATTATATCAACAAATTTTAATACTCTATTTTTTTATTACTTCTCCCCTCATTTTCCAATGTGGGACAAAAACAAAAGATATTGATTTGCCTTTGTCTTTCAAGTACTCTACAACTCCTCTCATTTGTATTTGAAAAATAAGACTTGAAAGTTTTAAAAATAAAAGTAAGAGGTTATTGTCTTTTATAGGCAAACTCAACCCTCCCCATCTCTTTTCATTTTTCAATGTGGGACAAAAATAAAAGACATTTGTTTGCATTTGCCTTTGAAGTGCTCTCTAACTATTCTTCTTTGTCTTTGAACTACTACTTTACTTTTTTTTTTTATTGATTTTTTTACTTCTTTTTTCTTGCTAATTTTTTTTAAATAATTATAATTTATTATTATATTAATTTTATTTAAACAGGTACACGTGTGATAAACGATTTGACAGGTCTCACCCGAACACGATCCGTTTATTAAACGTGTTTGGCGCCTCAACCCGTTTATCACCCAAACCCGTTTAATTCGTATCGATTCTTATCAGTTCATCATGTCGGGTCAAATTTTGACAGCCTACCCACTACAACTACCACCGTTCACCCACGTTACAAGCGGTATTTAATTTTTTTTCTTTTTTTTTTCTCTACTTTATTTTTGTTATTTAATTTTGGGTATAAATATAAATATATTTATAATTAATTTTTTTATTACACCGTGTCAGACAATAATTAGTTATTCTATATTGCACAATAACCAGCTCAATTTGTGCAACAATTAGTAATAAAATATTGTGAAAAAGAACGATAGGGTATTAGTGGTATTTAAAAATTTTCGAAGGGTACTTCTGATATTATATTATGTACGCCATTATACAGTTGAAAGTTGAATCATAGCTCGCTCGCTCGCTCGCTCTCGCACAAACAAACACACAGACAGACGCACGAACAATCTGTCGATCAGAAATGGGAATCAGATTCATATTGATGGTGAACAAGCAAGGGCAAACCCGTCTCGCCCAGTACTTTGAATACCTCACTCTCGAAGAAAGACGAGCCCTTGAAGGCGAAATCGTCCGCAAATGCCTCGCTCGTAACGACCAACAGGTCTCCCACTTCTCTCTCTCTCTCGTGATTATTCATAGACCTATGTCCTCTGCACCACATGAAAATATGTAGAAACATATGTTTACTGATATCTAAACCTACGCCCTTATGAACGAACGAAATTGAACAAAATTGAAGGAATTTTCTTGTCAAATTAGGCACCCTTTAGATTGAGTCATGTATAGTAGTCAACCAGAGCGTAGTGAAGCTTTCACACCGGGGTTTCCTTTTATGATTTAGATCTGCGGAGACGGCTTACCTGACACTAGTTATTTAGGTGGTTTTTCATGCTTTTGTTTTGACCACTCATTGTAATAGTGTTTCTTTGTGTTGAATTCCTGCTTTGCATACATAGTCTTCGACTTTGGCCGTTGTATTTTGTTTTGTACCTAATTGTTATACTACTTGTTTCTTAATCATATGGGAATTATGTTCTTGCAATAATTTTTAGGCGTCTGAGTTTTTAATTTAGTCATTCGTGTTTTTTGTGAAACTACTTGTATTTTAGTTGTATCTCTATTTGAGCAGGTATTTAAATAATTTGATGTGATTTTCTGTATTTGGGAACAGTGTTCCTTTGTCGAGCATCGGAACTACAAAATCGTGTACAGGCGATATGCTTCGTTGTTCTTTTTGGTTGGGGTTGACAATGAAGAAGTGAGTTATTCTATCTCTTTGTGGCTTTAATGAACTGGTGCTTGATTCTGGGAAAATTGAATGCATATGAATCTTACTAATTTTATGAGTTTGTTTTCTACTAACAGCATACATAGCAATGGCAGTATCGTAGATTTAGTTATAGTCTAAAGTAGGCGGCCCTTGCTTTCCAATCACAAATTAATTGCCCTTGTGGTCAATGGACCTAATAGTGGTATTCATCTTCTATGTTTTGATTGTGTTTCAAACATGTTCTATGTGGTTGGGGTTTAGCATGAATGAAGAGACCAAGTACGTGAGCAATTTTTGAAAGTTGCGTGATAAAAGCTCAAGTTTTTTGTTTGGCATATCAGTTTGGTTCATTACAGATTGAAGGTAGCTTCTGAAAAGTTCAAAATCTTATTTGAGACCTTGATCCATGGGCAAAACATAATTGAAGAACACGTCTTTGATCAAGTGGAAAAATGATGCTTTTCTTGATGTGTTGTTCATGAAAATGATGCTCTGTTATGCCTTTTTTCTCAAAAATGTTTCCTTTTTCGTTTTCTATCTGTAGAATGAGCTTGCAATTTTGGAATTCATTCATCTGTTAGTCGAAACAATGGACCGCCATTTTGGCAATGTGGTAAGTATTCCCAGTTTAGAGATTTAAACAAAAACTGACCCATTTAGGAGCAAGTCCCCCCCCCCCCCCCCCCCCCCCCCCCAAAAAAAAAAAAAAAATTTTGGGTTTCTTTCCCGCAGGTCTACATTTCTGTCTTGTTGGTTTTTGTGGGTTTATCTGATTTGGTGTATGCTTGACTTTGCAGTGTGAGCTGGACATCATGTTCCATCTGGAGAAAGCACACTTTATGCTAGAGGAAATGGTCATGAATGGGTGCATTGTTGAGACCAGCAAGTCTAACATTCTTACTCCGATACAGCTGCTGGACAAAGCATCTTAGTCAGTTGGGCCAATGTTTTAACAATGCCTTGCTATCACTGTGACTTCCTTTTCTGATACTCATTGGCATCATATATATCTAATTGTTGTAGTGCCTACTGTGCATTGAGCTAAACAAATGGAATGCTTTCCATTAGAGTGGAATAATCTAAGGGCTGTGGATTTGGTTAGCAGAAAACGTTTAGTCGATTCAATGAGTTGTAATTGAACCGACTGTTCTGAATATATTGAGAAAAATTGGCATTACTGTTATTTCTATTACGGTGTAGAAGTTGTTTCAGCACAACTGGAAATCATCAAAGCATATGGTTTAATGGTAAAACAAGACTTATTCAGGACCAGCCCCTACTGTTGTTGTTATATACATAAAACTGCCTAATTTTATAATCCAGAAGCAAGAAAGTGCCGGCTACCTCTCACTAACAAATTGTATTTATAGTTATCTGTAAACATACAAAGAACAAGTATACCCTCTAAGTGGTATACTTATTTCAACAATATTAAATAGTAATTACATAATAATACTCTCAACAGGGACTATCAGTATCAGATAGCAGCAGGCCTCCCATCTTTCCTAGGATCACTAACACCAGTAAGTGTTCCTCTGAATACTTGGTCTACAGGCACTTTTCGGTTTTTACGGCCCATTTCAATCGGGTTGTTAATGTTTTGAACAACAAACTGGCAGACAGCTCCTCCTGCTTTAGCCTGAAGTTGATGACCTCTCTCTTCCAAGAACTGCTTTTTCTCGTCCGAGAGTTCTATGTGCTCACCATCGATGACCGTCCAGTTTTCATATAAAACCACATTTGGTATTAGCTGCACAAAGTTCATGTTAAATCAATAGAGGGTTCATCAAAATGAAATGAAGTTTACGTTCCAAATCAAGTGAGCGACCTTGTGGTAGACTCTTGCACTCTGAACTGCCGCTAGAGGTTCCATTCCCAAGACAAAATGGTTTAGAAAAACCTGTATCACAGCTGGAATTATGTATAGACCACCACTACCTCCAACGACCCCGACCAATTCATTATCCTGCAAACAGTGCATAGGGAAGAACTGCTTAAAGAAGCTTACAATTTCAAAAACCAACTACATTACAGAACAATCTTTTCTCATGCGGGATTAGAATAAAACTATTTCTCATCCTTATAACCATGACTAGGCGTTTCCAATACTTTCTAGCTTTGATGATTGGTGGAAACCTGAAAAAATATAAAGAAGTCAGAGAGAATGTGTGGCGTTCCTATACCTTGAGAACAATGATAGGTGTCATGGAAGATAAGGGTCTCTTGTTTGGTCTGATAAAATTGGCTGGTGCAGGAGGGAGTTTATCGGGAGATATTTCTGTTGGTGTCGAGAAGTCGTCCATTTCATTGTTGAGCACAATACCAGTGGAAGGAGAGAGCAACCCAGCTCCAAAACCATAGTTTATAGTGGTTGTCAGTGACACTGCATTTCGATTTGCATCCACAACACACAAATGGCTGGTTCCATGATCTCTAAGCTGGCTCCACCTGGAAATTAAGGACTAAATGCTTTAAGTTCACGATCAATTTCACATTATACAATAGAATACTGACCAAATTTTGGATAAGTACAATGTATAATTTCTTCTTTGAATCAATCACGTGACAAAGCCTAACCTGTGCATATAGTATTCAGAAGGGAAAGTCGTGTTGTCGAATATTTTTTGTTGAAGTTTCTTGGCAAAAGAAGGGGAAAGCATGTCAGAGATAGTCTTACTGATATTCACGAAGTTGGGATCACCCAGGTTCATCCGGACAGCAAACATAAATTTTAATGCCTCAATCAGGCGATGTAACCCCAGAGGTCCCTTTGCAGCATTGGGACTCCCATAGCTATTCAAGATGTTTAGAACCTGTTTTTCATCAATGCACATTAGTACAGTTCAACAAAAGCAAACACAGTCTTGTGAACTGCAGCATCAAGAGCTCAAATTTTCATATCCATGTTCTAATCCGATTAAAGGTTAAAAAAATTGGAAAAAGTGAGAACCGGACCAGAGATATTCCGACTGTTCCACTGGATGGAGGTGGCATGCCTAAGATAGTGTAGCCCATTACGTTCACGGACATTGCATCCATAACATCCACTTTGTAATTCCTCAAATCTTCCATTGTCAAAATTCCACCAGCCTCTTTCACATCCTTTACTAGATTTTCCCCAATTGTTCCATTATAGAAGGCTTGTATCCCTTGTTCTGCTACTGCCTCCAAACTGCGGCCAAGTTCCGCATTGTAGCATGTATCCCCGGCTTGTAACAATTTCCCATTTGGTGCATATACTAGCTGTAAGCCCGGGTCAGCCATTATTTTGTTCGCACTACTAGAAATGGATGATTCGAGATAAGGATAAACCACAAACCCCTCTTTAGCAAGTTTAATGGCTGGTTGGAATAAAGTCCTCCAGGGCAAACGTCCATGTTTTGACCATGCTTCATGAAGGCCAGCTAGCTCACCGGGAATGCCAATTGCCAGTGGTCCTTCATACTTAGCATCGGGATTGTTCTCATACATGTTCTGTTTGTTGACAACAACAACATTAGATGACAGCAAAGAGACTCAAATAAATCAATGTCAAATTTTGTAAGGTAAAATGTTCAAGTCACCTCACCAGCCAAATACCAAAGGGAAATCAAATACTTATTGTTATGCACATACCGTAGTAACTACTTGATCCCTCTGGCTTTTAACAAATGAATTTTTTGAGGAAGCTGTATAATTGGACCCAATGAATTAATGGGCCAACCCGAAGATGGTTAATTGTCCTAGAAAATAATTGGGGTGTGTGTGTGTGGGAGAGAGAGAGAGAGAGAAACCTGTGAAGCAGCTGAGGGAGCTGTTTCCCTCATGTCAAAAGCTTGGGTATTTGATTCTGGTGAAGACCGAACAATCATGAAAGATCCACCTCCTACTCCACTACCGGCTGGATTGACTACACCAAGGCAGAGGGTGGTTGCCACAGCAGCGTCAACAGCATGACCACCTTGTCGAAGCATTGATACACCAATTTCCGAGCATCGACCGTCATCAGAAGCAACAACTGCTTGGTCTGACTCAACAATTTCTTTATTTTCAAATTGCACACAGCCATTGTGCTTGTTTTCATCTCTTACCACCCACACACTTAGGTTTCCTCCTAGTGTAAGGCAAACAACTGAAAATGTACACAAGAACAACCTTTAGTGAAATTACTTTTTTTGAGCATAAATATTGAAAGCAACAACAACGACAACAACAACAACAAAGAATTTAACACAACTATTTAGGGATGGCTACATTAATCATGCCCCCATTGTGCTCCTTGAAGAACCACATTTCCTTAAACCGTGAGATATCATAGCATCATATAGTTGAAAACCAACATAAAATTCAGTAAAACAGGAAGAAGATATTGTTGGTAGACAAAAACACAAACCATTTATTTCAAACAAAAAACAACATAGAAAAGAATTTTATGAACCTTAACCTGGAAGAATGGGGCTTGGACTGGACATTTCCCATAGAAGCAAGGTCCAGCCAATCTTTTACCAAATTGATTAGTTTTTCTTTTGAAGTATCTGGTCACATGCATTATGATTGGTTGACAATAAAATTTACAGGACTCGAGGTGAGCTATTATTATATATTCATATTGTGAAGAAACTGAAACAAACAGTTACCCCATGCAGGTTCACCAAGAATCCTTGTAAATTTTTTTTTCTTTTAATATCTTGTGGCAACCACTATTAATCTCTTAGCAGCCTTGATTCAAGATCTAGCATATAGAAACCCAATTTACAGCCAAAATAGTGTTAATTTACAAGGGAAAATAAAACAAAATCATATGAACTCAAGGACCCAAAATTCAGATAAGCAATAATGGCATTTTCAAGATATTCCAGAATTTGGGTCATGATGAAATCAAAGAAAATTAAATTGGACTGAAGCAAATTGAGAGAAAACTTACATATTATGGCTATGAGTGAGAGGAGGAGACCCAAAACTCTGCTCCATCTCCTTCTCTTGGAATTTCCACCACTGCCCAAAAGTGGAGCTTCTATGCTCTGTTTCCTCATCTCACCCCCTCCCCACCACACACAAACACACAGAGAGAGATAGAGATTTGATGGGTAGTTGAGGCTGCTCTGGCAATTACTTTGTGAGTTAACAAAGTCTGGTTTGGCTCTATTTTAAGGGCTTGAGTGATGAAGAACCTCTTCTGGTACTTCAAAGCTTATAGGAAATTAAACAAATGGGAGGGCTTACATACACACATAAACCCACCTGCCTCTCGTGGAAATGTCCATGAAAACGACAATTTAGATGCAAAGATTCTAAGGTTTAGTAATTCGAGATTGAAGACTGCTTCATCTAAAAAATTTCTGATTTACTCGTTATATCCCGCTTATAAGTGTTTATATACTTCCGGATGAGTTGTCGAAATTTATTTTATCGATTTAACTATTCTTACCAAGAAAAGGTTTGCCACATAGTTTACACACTTAAAAAATGTTACTATGATTCTTGGATATCAAATTTAGATTGGGAATGATTATCTCATTACTAATTTCTTGAATTATCATATTTGTGTTGTTAACGAGTCAATAATTCCCATCGGTAATAACATTACTAGTAGAATCAAATTTTTAATAATCTTAAACCCACCATCAAGTGGTGGTAATCTCATACCTAACTTAATTGGGTATTCTAAAAATGGCAAAAAATATTCAAAATTGAAGCCGTTTCAAAATTTTAGTTTGTTGTTTTAGTTAAGCTATCTTCCTAAATTAACGTTTTTTCTTAAAATAAAATTCATTACTAAAAATATTAATGAAATAAATATTTATTCCTACACTAGATTGCTGACGATACCAATCATTAAACAAAACATTAGTACGATATTTTAAACAAAAGTATCACTTTGTTATGAATGAGTTACTCATTTCAAAATTAAGATTATTTTTATTCAAATGAGACCTAAATTCATTCGTACAAGTAGTCTATGGTGTGAAGTTAGCTTAGGACACGCTATAAATACAAGTATTATTATAGGTTCAACTCTTGCCGGTGATTATGGAGTGTAATCAAAAGGCGGTTATTGCAGGTATTTTGAAGTTTAATTTGCATGAATAAATTTGATTGCGTTGGAGAGGTTTGACTCATAAAAAACCTCCCTTTGTTTTGATTGGTCAAGTAGGAAAAAAAAAGAAAAGGAAAGGAAAAATAGAACTCTACAGTGTGATTCGGTTAAAAAGCTTGAGAGTGGAATTGGCTTCTTTTTGCTTCATATTTCGTCAGGGCCCACGAATTATATATTGGAAAAAAAATAATAATAATAAAAAACCTCTAACGTAACTTGGCATAATACAATATATTTGCAAGCCTTGAGACTTACGTACACGAAAAAGATTCACAATAGAGAAAGTTACAAAAAATAATAGCCTAAGCTAGGCTAGGCTGATTTTTCTGCGAGTGGACCCCACCCATTTTGGGGCCGCCCACGATTTGTCATTTAGAGATCTTTTTATTCTCAATTTACACCCTGAAATTTTAAATTTCTTATATTACACCATCAATTAAATAAAAAGGTAACAATGTGCTCTATTTTTTTAAAAAAAATGAGTGCAAATTTTTTTTATAATAAAAAATAAAAAAACAAATTTGTCAAAAAAAGCAACTGAAATTTGATTTTTACCTTTTTATCTGATTAAAGGTTTATCTGATTTAGTTAACCTTACCTCAAAGGAATAGAGGTCATCGGCTCGAATATATTATCTAATAGTTGTAATAATAATAATAATTTAAAAACATCTTAGCATGTGATAATTTTAATCTTTCAAATTATAAATTAAAAATTTTAGAAGCTTTTTAATAAAGTGTCGTCCACCCAATAAATAATAATATAATTATTTTTATCTTTCAATAATCTTAACAAGGATTGATTATGGTAGTGATTTTCAGTAATGACATATGTAGAGTCACAAGTTGTGTCCTATACATTCACCTTAAAAAGCAAGAATGACAATGAGACTCTAGGGTGTAAAACCCAAAAAATTTTTCAGGGATGGTTCATGCATGAATCGGTGTGATTGATTATATTGTCCGTATGAGAGGCATGCATGATATTTGTTATGATAGTTTGATTCTAAATATATAAACATTTAATTTATATCTTGTATATTTCTAATGTTAAGGTGTTGAGAGATTTTTATAAATATTTTACTTTTTATCTTGTACATATACTTATAAAAATCTGTCATTACTTATTTGTATAGTTTGTGAAATGTTGATATTTAAAACTTTGTAAATGCTTGAGAAAAGGATTATCCTACTGAGTTGTGGTTGCTCATCCTTTACTAATATTTTCAGAAACTAGCATGCATTCTGGGGCATAGATAATAGAATGATTGTGGGAGCTTGGATTAGAAATAATCTCTTTTGGAATTTTTTTGTATTTACCTTTAGAACTTATGTAGAAATGTTAGCACTCAAACATTGTATTTGAAAAGGTTGTCTTGAGACATTTGTGGTGTACACTAGATTATCTCATAGAGGGATTATTATTTTGGGTATTGTAATGTAAAGTTATGATTTTATGTACTAAGTTGTGGTATATATTCGTATTAAATGTATTCGGGTTTGGGAGGACTTCGTGGGCCTCTAACTGTCACCACGGATTTAGTTGAATTATATTTTTGATGAAGGCAAGTTGTGGATGTTTAGTTACTTTAAATTATGTTATGCTCTGACGGGGATGCTTTTATAAGTTGGTTGGAAGCCCAATTTTCAAAGGAAACTCAGCCGAAATTTTCAAAAAAAAAAAGAAAAATTATTTAAATTACAGAGATACTTTTCTAGATGTTTTTATAACATACCGACATATATTTTTTTAATAAACAAATTATTTGTTTTAATCACGTTTTTTTTGAAATTTGGAGTGTGACACTTTAGAGCGATGTTCAAATTTGCACAGTTATATCACTTATATTTGAACTTCTTAGATCATTAATTTGGACTTTCTTTAGTATACTTTCTCTTTTTATTAGTCTTTGTTTAGTCTTCCATAATGTTGATTTTATAATCCATGGAATGAAATACTCAATTTTTTCTTCTCAGATTTGTGATTATCTTCCTCAATCCTCGAATGTTTCATCTTCTTGCGTTTATGCTTGAGGTAATTCTTGAAATCCTTTCAAAGTGATAGTAATTTTTTCATGATTACTGCCACTTGGAATGATTCAATAAGAACAATACCTTTGACATGAATGTCATGAAGAATAACTTGAAGTTCTTGAACTTGGATTGTAATAGTTTTTGAATCTACCATTTTATAATCCAAGAATTTCTCAACAATGAATTTCTTCGTGCCAGCATCTTTGATCTTGTATTTTTTGTCCAAAACTCCCAAAATTCTTTCACAAATTTGACAGTATTATATACATTGTATAATGCATCGTCCAATTCGTTGAAGATATAATATCTACACAAAAAATTTGAATACTTCTAAGCATTCATAGTAGTCACATTTTCTTTATTGGTTTTGTCTGCGTCAGGTGAAGGGACATCTTCATTTAATAACTTTTCAAGGTTTATGGTAGTGAGATAGAAAAACATATTTTTTTGTCAACATTTAAAATTCGAACTATTAAATTTCTCGAGCTTCTCTTTAGAAGATACACTCACGATAGTAGAAACATAATTACTTGTCGAGTAAATAAGTAATTTATTGTACTTATAGTCTTTTGGTCCGAAAAAGTTGGCGCATGAATCTAATGCCAAAATTGTTGAGTAAATTACACTTTAACCCCTTGAACTACTATCTTTGTTTCACTTTATACTTTTAATTATAAAATTTCTCATATTGCTTCTTAAAGTATCAATTTTGTTTCATATCAATCTAATAGATGACAGAAAACTTGAAAATCTATCAAAGGATGGAAGAAAATCCCAAAGAGTTTCCTATCGAGTACCTTCCACTTTAGTTTACCTCTTTTTCAACCAAATGGTTGCTGAGAAGAAAAAAAAAAGTCGACCAAAGGAAGAAATTTGGAGTTTAGGAATGACATAGTCATGGATGAGTATTTTTCTTGATTTTTGACCTGTACATATGCAATAGGTAGTTGCTTATTGATAGTATAGACCATTAATATGCACATTTACCGTCAAAAAATTGACAACCATTATCTATCGGAATGATATGAAATAAAATTGATATTTTTATGTACAATGTGAAAAATTTTATAATTAGAGGTATAAAGTGAAACAAAGATGATAGTTCAAAAAGACAAAATATAACTTTCCCAAAATTGTGGTGAACTTCCTGCGTAAGGGATGACATTTTCTGTAGCTTCTTATTCGGCCCTAAATTCTTGACTTTAGAAGGGAATGAGATAAGGGCCGACTACTCCTACCTTTCGTACCTCTAAGTTGTCCAATAAAAAGAATTCAATTCCTAAATGCTTTTGCTAAAACCATACTTTTCCAGGCCTCTTACTAATCCCTAATTCTTTGGTACGGAGCCACCTCCTTTGCCCAACTTGCTTTTTCCCATGCCTATCCCTTGTGGTTTGACAATCTGTTATCCCACTTCCTTCTATTCAAAAGGAGAGCAACCCTTAAACAAAAATGCCCTAAGAGGGCGGGACTTAATCCATTAAATGAATTTAGGAAGAAATTTTATTAACTCTAAAGCATCAAGCATAAAATCCCACCTAATTGAGTCATAAGCTCTCTTCAAATAACATTGTTGTAACTAGTCATAAACTAAATTGAAATTTACCTTCAAATATGTTACTTTGCTTGCTGTTTTGTGAAATTGACAATTAGAAAGCTATGATTTACTATTAAATTTTAAGTGTTGAAGGTTATACGAGATTTTTATATCTGAAAACAATTTAAAATTTTAAACCATCTTTCTTTACTATTTCGCATTTAACAAAAATTATTTTACCGCATTTATAGGTAATTGTCTAATAATATGAATATTAAAAAAAGGTGGGATAGGATAATGGTGAGGAGAGATAAATTTCATGCATCACACAGAATGATCGTTAGTCTACATTGTATTATATAACAACCAAATTAGGTGAAAATGACATTGGGAGACCTTCCCTCCTTAGTCTCTCAATTCTTAAAATTTAAATTTATTTTAATACATTCAATCTAGTAACATTTCACCATGCTACAAAAACACCCCTCCACTAACTATAACTCCTCATTTAAGTGTTTTTTGAAAAATTATTTTCTATAGCATGTGTCATTACCACTCGCCCACTAACTAATAACTTCTCATTCATTTTTTTTTTGTAAAAATTACATTTTAGCACCTCAAATTTTTTATAATTATTTGTCTAACTTCTATATTCATTAATTGTGTGACAGAAGATAAGAGATGATAGTAAAAAATAGTACTACAACAAAAAATTTATGGGAAACAACGAGAAACTTTCCCTCCTTAAACACTAAATTCTCAAAATTTTGAAGTATTACCCAAATTTGAATTTTTCTGTCTTTGAAAATTCGTTCACATATTAAACTTTTATTAACTTAATTTAGTACATTTTTTTTTTATATTTTTTCAATAATGTTGGTTGGGCTTAGCTGTGACGGGGTGAGGTAAGGGATGGAGGCAGGAGTGAAGGTGAGGGATGGGGGGTAGTAATTTCCGTACATTACATTGGATGCTTTGTTCATAAGTTTATCTTTTAAACTTGTTTAAAGTTTAAGCCGAACCTGAACAATGTGTTGCTTATCTTGATACGTCCAAGCAATGAATAAAACATCAGATTTCTCAAGAGATTTATAGTTAACGTGTTATTTTGGTTCAATCAATTAAATTTCTAAATTAATTTTACGGTGACTCTGTTAACTACTCATTAACTTTTTATATTATATTGTTTTGACATTAATAGTTAATTTAATGGTCATCGTCCCGTTGTTAAACCTCAAAGTTGTCGGTTCGAAGTTCGTGATGTTTCCGCTGTAAGCTTTTATCATTTGGAAGGGACATAAATACAATAAAAGGAAATCACTGACATGAAAATATGCAATTAAAATTACATTTCAGTACATCACAAATTGATAAAATTATTCCCGGGACCAAACGGAGAAAGGATAGCAATGGGTTGTTCTAAATCCGTACATCAGAACCCTAGAAAAACTTAGCACCACCTGGCCTTTTCTTTGCACAATAAGCTTTCGATGCCTATGGTTCACCATCTGAGCTTTGCTGGGAAATACTGCAACAAAATAATTTGCGACTATGGGGTGAGAAAATTAAAAAAAATCGTACAATCTTCTAAGCTAAAGGGTTAAGTCTGCCAAAGGTCGGGCCGTGTCACACCGAAATTTTCTCAATTGATATTCGATTCATATGACTTTATGACGCATATAAATCTTATTTAACCAAGTTTCTATTGGGATTATTAGTAGGGTTATCGATCCACTAATTATTAAAGTGGTCTTTATGTGTCAACCAGTTAAAATCGACTCTTAAAGAAAAAGTTTGCAAAACACCGATTCTGGCCATATCAGCCGTTCAAAAGCTGTTCCACCATTAAGACTGAATCTATACCCACCAACTTCAAGTTGATTTTATATACGGTTGACAATTTTTATTAAGAATTGATAATCACCAAAAAAAAATACTCACCTTTTCAATGAGAGATATATAGTATGGCTTCACTTTTTCTACATCAATGCGAACTTTGCTCTTGCTGTAAAGATCATATTTGCTGCACAATATTTCATTAAAAATATTAAAATTTTTGTTGATACCCAATAGCACAAAAAAATTTATCTAGAAATAATAAAATTTACTTGAATATTTTAAGCCACTCCAAATTCTCAGCATCCTCCTCATTCATCAAATGTTTATATGCTCCCGCCCTATGTAAAGCTGCAGCAAGATTTTAAGATATCAATGTTAGATATTGTGATTAGAATACCAGAAAAAGAAGTTAAATAAACCCTAATATATATATATATAATAAATCGGTATACCATTTACGTACATATATACTTGAGTTTTTAGGCGGGTTTAAGTTCCGAATATGACCCGTTATCCCAAAACAATAAAATGATTAGGGGAAAATGGAGTAAAAGCTTACAGTAGAAAGAATGGTAATGGATGATAAAGAAGGCGTGATTAGGGGAAAATGGAGTAAAAGCTTACGGTAGAAAGAATGGTAACGGATGATAAACAAGGCGGCTGGAGGTAAAGTTGTTCCATTTTCCTTGGCAACCTGAAAAAAAAACAAAAACGAGGAATTATTAACTTGTATCTTCTGAATGATTTTGGTGTTCTTAGTAGTATATTAGAATTTGACTAAGACATAGAAATCTTATATACCAAGTACATGTAGTCATCATGCCCCCATGAAATCATGACATTGTTGAGTCCACATCCTTCTGTGTAAATTCCATTCTTAGTGCTGTAAGCTGGATTGTTGGAGTCCGGATTGCCTTTAAAATGCTGCACCACAACATTTTTGCACAAATTTTCTCTCAGCTTACTAACGAGTGCCACTATTAATAAGTGTTAATTACAAATTAATTTGCATCAAATTACGACTCAAAAAAGTTAGGTATGACATAATCGAGATTAAATTATCACTCAAAAGTTGGCATTGATTTCACACAAACCCATTTCATCATAAGTGCCTCATCTAATGGAGTTTGGAACCTTATTGGATTCATTCATAACTTTTGATACCATATTTAAAAATAATGAAATAGTATCGATACCTAAGCTAAACTGAAACACTAAATGTGGTTTCTGGAAGAATTACCTTATGGTGAACGATCGATTCGTCGAAAGCACAGCCAAGAGGGAATGTATCACCTGTAGTATATATCAATATTTGTTAGCCATTTGAAATAGTTGAGATTATTTAGCTGATCAGAAATTTCAATGCTTAAACACAAACTCACCAACAACAGCCCACTGAGGAAGCCCTCCAAAGCTAGGATGAAGAAGAACTTTCCCAAGATCTGTAATCCATTCAAAACTAATGATTTCAAATACTATTATAGTATAGAGACGCTTCTGATAAAAAAGTAAAACATTAGGTAGTATGAACCTTGTGAAACGTGTTTTATTAGATGAGGTTTTGCATCTTTAGGGATTGGGGCCTCTTCATAGGCAGCGTCAACAAAATCTAGCTTTCTTACATAGCAAAACATATTGGTTTGTTGGTCGAACAAGAAACTCGCTGGTCTTATGTTTGAGTTCTCCAACAAAATCTAAAATTAAACAGATGTTTGAGGTTTATGGGTAATAGCATACCTTAAAATTTTGTGTTACAGTGATAAGTTTAAATATGTATTATCACACGAGGGTAAGCCTTGACACAAGAGTAAGTTTTTTTATTTTATTTGGACGTCTAGGGTGCAAGTCACAGAAACATTCTATACACATATGGGGTGTGGCTGCTTATATCTGACATTCGTAGACCTTGCACTAGCTGGAGTTTCGTGTATTGGGCAGCTCAAGTTTTAAAGTAGAATCAAGGGGAAATAATAAGGTATATACCATGGATAAGGCCTGTCAAGTGCAACCAATCTTCATTAGGATAGTCTTTCCTAATGGCCTCAGCAGTCTGCAACAAGTGCTCAATCTGGGGTTCATCCAAGTCAGGATCACTATCATCCACAACATCATTGAGAAGTTCACAACCTTCCCATATGCTCATCTCCACTTTGTCCAACTTCCCATACTCTTCTCTCATCCTCTTCACCTGCATTTGCATTAAAAAGTTTGTTCAAACTTCAAACCCAAGTCCCAATATATATATATATATATTTTTTTTTTCTTTCTAATGACAGGAACATATAGGATCACATTGGACTCTACAATCACAGGCTAACCACAAATATTCATTAAACGTGGAAGTCATCGTCAAGAATAGAGCTTAAGATGTCTGAATTTACGGCGCGTCAGAGTTCACACCATTTGACTCTTGTGATGGATGGCAAAGTCCTATTGTTTCTTCCTCAATAAAAAAGAAGAATTTACTTGTAATTGAAGTGCTTACAAAGTCATATGTTTGGTTAATGTGGTTCACTCTATAGAATTCCTCAACTGTTTTCTGTCTCTCACTCTCTGCATCGTAGTCTCTGCACAGCATTTCCATGTCAGTTTTCTTTCAATATAAAACAACCCTTGATGAACTTAAATGTGGGTTTATAGAAGGAAAGAAAGCAAACCTAAATGCCTGGCCAAATGAGTTGATTTCCGGCTTGTCAAATCCACCATCTGATAGTGATTTGGGCACAGCAAATCCTCCATCCAATACCAGTTCATTGGTATCAGATTGCATCTTTTTCTCCTCCATTTGTAAACCTAACAAGTAATAATAACAAGGATACAAAGCATCATGTGAAGTGTTGATCTTGCACAAAGTACATGTAATATCAAAATATGGGTAAGCGTAAAGTTTTTTTTCGTTACCAGCCATATTACAACCCAATTGTCATAACAAAACAAGTTTTTTCAAAAGGTCATAACGTTTATAGATCAATTCTAATTTTTTTTTCATAATTTAAACCGTCTAGTTGTAATAGTATGTCCTCTTACTCACCAATATATGTGCAAATATATGAACAATTGTTTTTTTTGGGAGAGGAAAGACACTTGAACCGAAGAAGACAAAGTAGTCTTCACAACATAAAAATAACCATCGAACCAAAGGTATACAAATATATGAACACACACACAAATAAAATACAAAAACCAACTTCAAAAACAAGAAAAGAAAGGGAGTTACCTAGCTCAGGCTGCTCAATGAGGATAGTCATTCTTCCACCAAAATTAAAACAAATAAAGAACAAAACTAGAGAAAGGAGAATCAAGAGACTCAGCAGAAATGAAATGAAATGAAATGAAATGAAATGGAATGGCAATGTTGTGGTGTGGAAGGTGTCAAGAAAAGGGGTATTTATAGTGACATGAAGAAGGAAGTCCTCATTTGAGATTTGGAAGGTATGGAGTCCCCAACAGAAAAGTGAATGGAAATAAGTCCTCCTCTGAGATTTGGTAGGTAATGGAGTCCTCAAATGAAAATGATTGGGAACAGAGTCCTTATCTGAAAAGGTGGTACGGCATGTTAAAGGGGTCGAGAAAGGGGATATGGTATTAAAAAAGTCCTTCCTTGATATTTGGAATGTTTGGAGTCCTCAACTGAAAAAAAACCTATAGTTTCCTAACTATTTTATCCTTATTTCCGGAAGAAACGTTCAAAAAGGACCAATACAGCTAATTGATATACTTGATCCACTTTTCTCTCACCGCGTCTCCAAACGCGTACGTTCACACACTTTTTTTTTTTGGCTAATCACACTTCGTATCCCAAAAGATCTTCAAAATTTTAATTATTGTCTTTTTAAAGGATTTGCTCATGTTGCACCCTCAAACATATACAATGAAAGCAACGTAAGAATTTTAACTAGTTGTTGGGACCAAAGAAGGCAATGTAAGAATTTTAACTATAGGTAACTATTTTCCTGCCTTTTCATATATAGGTAACCTTTTTTAGACCATATTCATAACAGCTTAAATCTCTCTCTCTCTCTCTCCTTATATATATATATAAGAAACTTATTTAAATTTATCAAACTATTAATTTGCATATAAAGTGAATGTTAACACAAACGGCTGGAAACAACACTAGCCTTTGGTAGGCATTTTAACTTGTTGGACAACAACCCACGTCAAGTAGGCATGAGAATGGTATTCCTTCTCACATTAGGTAAAAGTGGGCCACTTTAGGTGGAAAGTAAAAAAGGAAGACAACTTTTTACATATATGGGCTGGCCGAGTGTAAAATTTTAGACTTTTTACTTAGAAAAGAGTTTAAAATTTCGAGTTTGCCAAATCAGTTTTTGGATTTATGAATTTAGTAGAATGAATTCACAAATTTATACCGAATTTGCTTTCAATTTGTTAATTCACATTCCAAGCAATGGAGCGTGTGTGTTGAAACACGAATTATGTGACTAGGGGACTATGCATGTGTGTTGTGGAGAGTAAATGAGTTGATGTTTGTCTATGTTTAGGGAGGGTCTCTAGTGGTGGGGATATTTTTCTTGATCTTGGGTTTTTTGGAAGAGTGAGACAAATTTAAGGATAAAATTGACATTTAATTGAATTTCAGTTGACATAGAATTTTTTATTTTTTTTAATTTTTATACAATCAAAAAGTAAACGACAGTGCATAATTTTTTTGACGTAATGTTCAAAGTTGGAAGGGGGTTTGTCAAAATTAAAATCACATGGATTTGATTGCAACATTTGCTAAACTTAGAGGGAGTAATTTGCAACCAACCCACCCCTGAAAAGTTGGGAAAAAAAAACGTGCTCAAATCTGCAACCTAACTTAGAGCGAAAGTGGTGACCACGTGCAGCTTAGAGAGTGATGGAGTATATTGTAGTCAGTTGGATGACTCAGCTCTACGTGTGTGATAAAGCTAAATTACAGCGCAAGTGGGGCATACTGACGCGACAATGAGTCATATCAGACTACGTTTTGACTTTCTTAATGGGATTGATATCTACGGCTGAGCTGGTACCAATAAGTTTAAAGCTATCTATTTTTGACCAAAAGTATGAATCACCGACGTTCTGTATTTCGCCACGTCATCATTTGAGAGTAGAGCAGCCTCAATGAGGCCAGCAAATATTATTTTTTTTAAATTTAATCAAGACGGCATAAATATCCTATACAAATAACCGACCAGATGGGTAGGTTTAAGGGTGAAAAATAAAAAATCTTTTAAACTAAGTTTCGATCTCGCTTCCCTCTTATATTTTTATGGATAAACTTCTTTGAATTAAATTTCAATCTCGTTTCATTTCTATATCTCTACGGGTTTTATTTAATCCAACCTCTTCCTCTTGTGAATAAACTACAAATATATTAACAGAGACAATAATTTATATAAAAAAATTAAATTATCTCTTAATTGTAATCTAATTTTCTTTGTAATGTAATTATTGTAGAGCTTTTATTTTTAAAAAAAAAAATCTGTAACTAGCACACTTTTACCACCATGGTCTCACCATATCATAAATTCCTCTACAAGCTATAAAGAAGGCCAAAACTAAAGGGAGGGGGAGAGAGAGATTGTTGAAGGAGAAGAGAGAGAATTTTAGGTTTTTGATTTAGAGATTTACAATACATAAACTCAACATAATCAAAAAAAAAAAATTTCAAGAGGATTTCATTGGCATAATTAAATTTAAATTTTATGTTGTGTGTGTGCTCGAATTTGTGTTTAAAACATAAAGTAGTTACGAATTTACAAATAGATAATAGAGCAAACAATATTTTTTTCCTCAATGGAGGTTTGAGTTGTATTACGTGATTGTAGTACAATGTATTGAAAACCGTTAATCAATTTAACAGTAGAAAGAAATCGTTCCACTCAAACGGACTCTATATCAACCGCCAGATCTTGCACCACAACTATATCAAATATATACATGTTGGAAAGTCATGGCCAAGGTATGTGCGGTGAAGAAACCCACTAGGATTTGAAAATTTAAAAATCAAAATTTTGAAATAATTGTTAAAACTTCAAAAGAGGGTTAAGCTTAGCTAATTTTGTGTCAAGGAGTTCCAAAATGACCTTAAATTTTTAAAAATAAGTTTTATAACTCCAATTTAAAATTAGTAAAATTACTAGACTCATTAATACAAACTAAATTTTATATGCACATAATAACTCATAATCTTAAAGACCGGTTAAACTCAAATTTTATACACTTAAAGTTAAATTTAAACTGAGAATATGAGAGATTAAGATTAAACTTTTATTTAACTACTGAATTCAAACTTGTGTAAAATAGATATGAAAAAGATTACCACATGATATTTATAATTAATAAAAGTGCTGTTCCACTTTACATTTCAACCTTATTTAGCCTAATGGCCACTGGGTATTGCCATTGCATCATGAACCCCGGATATTAATGTCCAAGTGGAATTATTTAAATGTAAGTATCCTTTTATAAAAGTCATTAAAGTTGTCACATGAGTCATGAGTCATTGGCTAGAAAACACAGATTAGGTGTCTCCACCAAACACGAAAAACTGAAAAAAAATGCTGGATGTCAATTACTTATTACGTAAGAGAGAGACCGGTGGGTTGGTCTGGTCTTATTATAAAGATGTACAACATCAACGATTAATAATAAAAACGAGTTGTAAATTTAAATGTCCTAAATTTATATTTTTAACATTTTTTTTTGTTACGATATGAGAAATTTATCTTTCATGAATAACCAAATCTCAACGTGAATAGTCATTTTTTGACTAAATTTAGAAGACAATTAGTCAAAATACGTGTAAGTTAACCTAAACACCACTAACCATTAAACTAAAACAAAACAAAACAAAACAAAAAAATTTATAAAGATGCAGTAATATAAGACACCGTCATGTTTCAAATTCCAGCATTTATGAATAATATACTAAAATTTATAATTAGAAAGAAAAATTGTCATTTGATATTACTAACAATACATCACATGCATTACACGTGAGTAATTTTTGTATATAAAATTTAATAAAAAATTTTAAATATATGTGTACATAAATTAAATATCATATCAAGTTTATAAAATTATGTTTTTACCGTTCATATTATACTATAGAATTCAAAAAAATTTTATCTGTTCCCAACGATTTGTTGTTCTAACTATAAGAAAAAAAGATAAAAGTAATTCATTATAAAATTCATTTGATTAGGTTTCAACTTATAATTCATTAAATAAAATAACAATAATTATTGATATTTTAATCAATGCTTATTTTTAAGGGTAACATAGTCCATTAATTTTCGTGGATATTAATATTTATACGTAAAAAAATAGAAAATTAAAAAAGTTGTAAAAGTAATTTGGTGATTTAAATACTAAGGATATGATGTTAATTTAGCTATTTAACTATAAAAGATAATGTAATATTTAAAATTTCAAATAGAACCGAAGTAAATATGTTATACAAGTCAAATAAAACTCAAAAAGTGTATTCGAAATATATAGATATCATCCATTGAATGAATGGATCCCAGTAAAAAAGTTGATGAGACCTCCACTCATCCAATGGATGATATGCAGTTAGAACTTTTTTAATTTCATTTGAATTATGCAGTATTACTCATACATTTAATGAAAAATTTTAATTTTTGAGACATGGTGTTCATAGCCCCTTGCCCAAACTTAACTTCGCCAATGTATCCAAATATTGGGTATAACAATAATACTATGTCATCAATGTCGCGTTGTGTCACTAGTTAGTGAAAGAATATAAAATAGACTTAATGTGCCTCTTTAAGGGGTTTAAGTATAATTTATTAACGGATATATTTACACACAAGTGTTATGCGTGTACAAACTTCAGAGGGTCTGTATGTAATATTTTAAATGTTAGGGGGTTTGAGTGATTAAGTGATAAACTTCAAGGGGTCTGTGTGTAATTCTCCTTATATTTTTTTATCTTTCCATTTTTTCATTAATATGAAATACAAAAAAAGTAATTATTTATACTTTCTATCCATTCTATCAAATACAAATGAAGAAAAATGTATCAATCTTATTTTCCTTCATTGGAAGATAGAAAGTGTATCATTCCTATTTTTTGTCTCTCATATTTTTCATCCTTTCTACCAAACGAAACATTAGTATTGATAAATTACTTGTAAGTAAAAAATGTTGTATGGGATCTAGATTTGAAAATGACATTTTTCTTTTGAAAGTATAATTCTGTTAATTTAACAAGCAAAGTTCTAAAAAAAAAAAGGAAAGAAAAAAAATAGGGGAAATTGTGAATAGGTGCATCATTTTATATTTATTTATGTAAAAGTACCTCAATATAAAACATATGTGTATAAATGCCTTTG